AGGGGGGGGGGCTGTTACAGGTGAGGGGGGGGGGTCATCACAGGTGAGGGGGGGCTGTTACAGGTGGGGGGGGTCGTCACAGGTGAGGGGGGGGCTGTTACAGGTGAGGGGGGGGCTGTCACAGGTAAGGGGGGGGCTATTAAAGGTGAGGGGGGTCATCACAGGTGAGGGGGGTCATCACAGGTGGGGGGGCTGTTTCAGGTGAGGGGGGCTGTTACAGGTGAGGGGGGTCATCACAGGTGGGGGGGTCATCACAGGTGAGGGGGGCTCTTACAGGTGAGGGGGGTCATCACAGGTGAGGGGGGGCTGTTACAGGTGAGGGGGGGTCATCACAGGTGAGGGGGGCTGTTACAGGTGAGGGGGGGTCATCACAGGTGAGGGGGGCTGTTACAGGTGGGGGGGTCGTCACAGGTGAGGGGGGCTGTTACAGGTGAGGGGGGCTGTCACAGGTAAGGGGGGCTATTAAAGGTGAGGGGGGGTCATCACAGGTGAGGGGGGTCATCACAGGTGGGGGGGGCTGTTTCAGGTGAGGGGGGGGCTGTTACAGGTGAGGGGGGTCATCACAGGTGGGGGGGGGGCTGTTTCAGGTGAGGGGGGGGCTGTTACAGGTGAGGGGGGTCATCACAGGTGAGGGGGGGGCTGTTACAGGTGAGGGGGGGGGGGCTGTAGTTGAGGGGGGGGCTGTAGTTGAGGGGGGGGGGCTGTAGTTGAGGGCTGCTCTTTTCCTGTCGGTGCTCCTCAGACTTTTTCACCCCCCCCTCAGAGAGTCTGACCCCCTCAGTTCCTGGTCTGAACCTGGACTCTGTTCTACATGTTTATGATGTTAATAACTGTGTTGTATATTTGAGTGTTCGTCCTTTCATCTTATTTCTTTATTTTTAATCATCTCTCACTGATCTCATTGATCTCATTGATCTCATTGATTTCATTGATTGATCTCATTCATCTTTGATCTCCGTGTTTTCTCTGGAGTCTCTCTGACTAAAGTGTTTCTGGTTCTGAGGACCTCATCAGTCTTTGTTCTTCTTTCAGGTTTAATAATGAAGCTTCCGTTCCTGGGTCAACCTCCAGACCAGAACTGTTTCGATGACGCTATTTACTGGGAGGTATGACCCCCCCCTCATTCTCGTAAACGTCAGCGTCTGTTGACCCAGAAGCTCTCTCTGTTTTCCTCATCAGGAGATAATTGACTTTGCAATTCAATTATTTTGATGAGGTTTACTTTGTCATGACAAACAAGATTTCATGAGCCTGTAAACTCGACGCAGACTTTACAGGCCAATTATTATTTAATGTCCATATCACACACACACACACACACACACACACACACACACACACACACACACACACACGCACACACACACACACGTCTTATTAAGTACTCATCGTTTCACAAACACGTCATGTTCCAGGTGCCGGAGGAGGAGGAGGAGAACGAGGAGAGCTTGGCTCATGCTGATCATTCGAAGAACAAAGCCGAGGCCTGAAGGTCCGTGGATGGAGAGAGGTCCTCCTTCAGGATCAGCGAGTCCACATGAAGAACTCCGTCAGCCTCTCTGTGGTTCTCAGCTCTGTGGACACTTTTATGAACACACAGTATTAGAGTCAAATTCTGCCGTAGTCAACGTCTTAAAGGTTTATTACACCACTTTAGAAACCAAGAAAAACGAAGATCTGATTTGAAACTTCAGGGATAATTTCATGACTTCAGTCACAGAGAGAGGGTTCGATCGGCCTTTTTACCTTCATTTCCTTTTTATAATATGAATTACCTATACAGCACGTTTTATAAAGTCCATGTATGATGTTATTATACTTGTCTTATATCTTAATTTCTGCTGAGATTCGAGTCCGAGGAGTTCAGATCTGCTCTGACACTAAAGCTCAGGTCACCTCACTGGAGCCCAGACCTTCATCCAGGAGTCTGAGTCCGACGCTCTGAAACAGGAGGAGGCTCAGGGATCGTCTCATGATATATTGTCACTAATAAACTTTTTATTTTGCTCTTTATCTTCTACTTCTTATAACATTGTTTTATATCTATCTGAGGGCAGCTCTACCATCTCCAGAACGCTCCGAGGTTTCAGTCCGCGGGCAGACAGACAGACGGACAGACAGACAGACAGACAGACTGACAGACTGACAGACTGGCAGACGGACGGACAGACGGACAGACAGACTAACAGGCAGACAGACTAACTGACAGGCAGACAGACTAACTGACAGACAGACTGACAGGCAGACGGACGGACGGACAGACAGACAGACAGGCAGACGGACGGACAGACAGACTGACAGACAGACAGACAGACAGACTGACAGACAGACAGACTGACTGACAGACAGACAGACAGACAGACAGACAGACAGACGGACAGACTGACTGACAGACGGACAGACAGACAGACAGACAGGTAGACGGACAGGCAGACGGACACGGTGGGTTTATTGAAGGCCCTGTGGTGTTTGAGGATGACTGGTACTGACTTCAGAACCT